GACAGCTATGGCTGTTGGAAAGCTTTTTCTCTCGTGCTACAATATTTTATTTCCAGAGTTTCTGTCTCTTGATTCTAGTTCTGCCCTCTGGCACTGTTTTCACACATTTGATGCCAGCCACTGTTGGATTGGCTGGATAACTATTCACTGTGGGCCGTAGGAATGGGGTGCATAGGGATGTTATTGACTGCCTGCCCACTCAGCACTATTATTCCACCTCTTTTCCTAACAGAACACAGATTATATCAGGATCCATCGTCTCCCCTGAAGTGACTGGTCAAGGGCTCCAATTCTTGCCAATGTTTGCTTCATGAATGGGTATACTTTGGTTTGGACAGTAATCAGTAAAGCAAAGTAATATTCCACAGACGGTCCTAAGATACAAGCAGAAAAGCTGTGGCGGAGGGAGGAGAGAAGAAAGTGAGAGAGAAATGAAGGATAAAGAAACAACCTCAAGTGAGAATCAGGAAATTAGGAGGAAAATACTGCGTGATCTTGATTACACATGGGATGTGGTTGTCCACTTTGTCTCTTCTAGTCACACAGACTAGTGTGGCATTAATGTTGAAATTGGGCTTCTGTAGCCATAATTTATTTTTTAAATGTATATTTATTATTATGTGTTAGGCATCGTAGCGGGTGCTTGGGGGGCAGACATAAATATTGTTAAGAAGAATTTATTGTACTCTAATCTCTCTGGGCTGTTCACAGATCAGAAGCCTGACAAATTAGTTTGCTGTGGTTGTGGATGGGACGATAACCTGGCCCAGGGGATCCCTGGGCACTTGAATCAGTGCACAGAAACCAATTTTTCCAGCAAGAAAGAAGGCAATGGGTGAGATAATGGTTAGAGCACAGGAAATGAACTTAATCACATTCATGTTCAAATTCTAGGTGTGTCCTTTCCTAGCAATGGAACAAGGTGCCTCGTGGTCCTCATATTTAAACCCCAGAGATTGATCATGAGGACTCCAAGATATAGTGGATTCAGAGCCAGCATGTGTGAGGTCAGCGGTAGTCATGGTTATTATTACTATCTAGTCCTCCTTCTTCTAAAAGGTTCTGCAAGAGATTCACTCAGCCTGTGCTTACAAACTTCTCACCATGCTTTCTGACTTGATAATTGTGTTATTTGTAGCCATGTACTCACTGATTCCAAATTACAAAATAGGAAAGAGTATGTCCAATGAAGTTCTTCTCAATAGGCTTGAAGGGGAGTTTTAAAAAGGTTTTCCCAATGCTGGAGTGCTTTTTTCTTTTAAGTATAACATATACATAGCAAAGTATAGAAAACAGACAAGTGTAGCTCAAAACAAATGCTCATGTGACCCCCCCCCAGATCGAAAAGCAGAGCAGTGCTCCGACCCACTGTTTCCCTGGGCACCCCCAAACAGCATCCTCTCTTCCCAAAGGCTTCTGCCATCCTGCTTCTAGTTTTACTTAGTTTCCGATGTTGGCTTTTTAACATTAAAGTGTAAGAGATCGAAAAGCAGTACAAAGCCGTTTGGTTTGGCAGATAAACAGATTTTCAAGCTGTGGGTTTAGCTGGCACAGGCATCTCCCTGTGTGCTGAATTACTGCAATGCAGTCAAAGAACAGTTCCTTGTCCTGTTTCATACCCTGGCTATTCAGTTGCTAAAATTCTCACAGTTAAGTTTGATCAGAGGCCTATTTAAATACATTTTTATTCAACCATTAGTTAAAAAATTGGATGGTACTAGCCATATATAGATTGTTTTTTCTACCCATCTCTGCATAGCTAAGTACATTTATAAATGCAAATTTATAAATGTGGGTGAGATAGGGTGGTTTCCAGTGACCCACATGTAATCAAACATCCTGCTATAAGATGCAGAGCCAGTCTGTGTATAGACATTTAAAAGTACTGACTGGTTTTGTGCATTCAGTTAGGATAGTCCTCAGTAAAATAGGACTCATTTTTCTCATGTGAAAGAACATAGCAGCCTTTTTACTGACTGTTTGTTCTGCCTCATGTAGTTTTGACATTTATTTTTGTTGGGGGTGAGAGAGAGCCATAGATTGACCTGTGGAATTTATTAATCCATGAAGTAATGCTTCATTTATTCATCATTCAGAAAACATTTCTCGGATCCTCACTGGTCATGAATATGCATGCATATGACTTGCAGTTACATCGTTTAGTTCTCAATAGCAGACTTGTTCCACATACACTCAAGAAGTTAAAATATTTAAAAAACTGGAATGAGGAGTATAAATTTCTAGGTCATATGAAATATAAAGAACACACACAGGCCATGGAGTAGCGAGGTGCCATCTTCTATGAAAAAGTCACGATTGTGATTCAGATTAAGGAAGGAATGTGGAGTCCGTGGTTTGACTCCTGCAGCCCCGGTTAAATCATAGTTTCTGATGCTTGGGGTTTTTCATCGCTTATCTGTCGGCAGCTGCTGAATGCTACAGAAGGTTTGAACGAGGAGTGAATCCTGAGAATGGAGGGAAGGGAGGATTAGACGAAGATGACTGGCCAGAGCAAAGTAATTTTCAAGTGAAAAAGAGCATTCCTCATCAGAGAAGAAAAAAAGAAAAGATGGGAAAACAATTTAGATAGATTTC